TTCCATTTCAGTGATGGCTGCAGGGAAAACTCTGAAAACAAAACATAACTAGTGTGTTCAGAGCCTTTGGCCTCACATTTAAAAGATTTAACAAATCTAAAGCTGATTTTGTTTTTTTGTGGGTTTATCTTCACATAAAAATAGTTAAATAAACAAACGTAGAAAACGTTGCTAAACCTTTTCAAGCATCACAACAAATATGTCAAATTAGCATAAGTCTATGTTAAATTATAGCATTGGTTGGGGAAATAACTGATAATAATGGATTTAAGGTTGTATTTGTTGCAGTCATTTAAAATGTTAAAGCAAATGGCTAAAAGGGAAGGTTCACTTGTAGGAGTGAATGCACCCGGCCTGTTTGTTCACTGGGTTTACGGTTTGTCGCCCAGCATGCTCCTGACTAGTGGTACAACTGTGAAAGTGGTTAAAGGCACTCAAGCAGCAGCCAGACTTCAATCACTGCACTGCAATTTAGGTATCTGGTAACAGGAGCAAAAACATGGTTGCTCATCATTCTAGATAGTTTTGCTCCTGTTTTCTTGCCCGAGCTAACCAAACTAGTTAACTCTATAAAAACCTCTGCATGCTCCCTCAAAATTTTACCCTTATTTTTTATGCTTATCAGTCCATCGGTCCCAGCGTGCTTTCTATAATCAATGCTTATCTGGTTTCTGGTCAGGTCCCTGCTTACTTTAAGAACACCATAATCCATCTGCTTCTTAAAAAAAAGAAAAAAAGTCTTGATTGACATAACATCTGCAATCGTTTCCAATCAGGTTTCCGCAGAGATAGCTTTGTGCTTCTTAAAATAATCAGTGGAACGGAATGCTTTGTTGTAGAGTAGCATTGTATGAAAACGAAGGCTGAACAATTCTGGAAAGTAATCCAATTGCAATATTTTTTTCTTCAACATTGCAATTGCGATTTAAGATCAATAGATGTGAAAAGCACATGTGAGCTCATGTTTCTGTTCTGTGGGACAACAGCAGCCATGTTGGTTATGCTAGTTAGCTAACAAGCAGCAACAGAAAAAAATATTATGGTATTTTTACCATTTAAACAAAAGTTAGAGATTCAGACAGAGGGCATTAACTAAATTCCCTATATTTGATATAGAGTCCTGACCCCCCCCCCCCCCCCCCCCCCCCCCCCCAGGTGCTTTACAACACAATCAGTCATTCACCCATTCACACGCATATTCACACTTTGATGGTAATTTTATCAAAGGGCACTATTGGCATTGAAAATCGGTAGACGAGGCTGTTGCGGTCGGAGCTGTTGTGGAGGAGAGGTGAGAGGCACATCGAAGCACCGACTGACGGGAGGTCGCTTGGCTGGAAAGATTCCACCACTGACATCCTCATCTGTGACCCGGACAAGCTGATTCCCAAAGTCAGAGACTCTAGGTCAACTTTCATCTCACACCAAACCCTCTGTCGGTAATCTTGGTGTGACCTTTGACACCATACAATATTTTTTAAACAAACTTTTATTTATTTTTCTTTAAATGAGTAATTTAAACAAAGCAAATATTTTTATTTAAATCAATATATTCTTACAATGCACCATTTAAGCTTCCTCCAACAATAGAACCAGCTGTTAAAATAACAGCATTTAAAAATAAGGGAACCTTAAATGAGTCTGTATTTTGTGATGTTGTTATGAGGACTAGAGTAAATCACTGCAGTTCCTTCATTCTTGAAACACCACAGAAACTGCTTATCATCCACTTCTTACTGTTTTTCTGGGAATCAGTCAGAAAAAGGATGAAGCGTTTGTTAGAATAAAAGGTGAAAACGGGTCCATTGGGACTTCATTAGCCAATTGGGCTTTGTATTAAAATATTTCAGGCATCATAAAATCATATTTAGTACTCAGCTGCAGTTTCTCAGAGACTCAAATTTGTAATAGTTGATTAATACATTCATGGACTGAGTTCCCTCTGCTGGAAAGCTGTCCACATTTACTGAAATGCAGCTTTTATTCTTAAGCTACAGACTCTTTTACTAAAGCATGTTTGCTTGTCAACAATAAGCAGGTAAAGGATGGAATGAATGATAATTATTCCTTAATCATTGCCCAATGTGACCTTTTCATGTATGCACGTCATATCATGTTCCTGTGTTTTGTACACAGGAAAAAGCCAAAGTGGTCATTTGTGTCCTTACCATTTCCTGCATTGTTTCCCATAATAACCAGAGAAAATACTATCATCATCATCTTCTTCTTCTTCTTCTTCTTCTTCTTCTTCTTCTTCTTTTTCTTCTTCTGCATGCTCAAATAGCCCGTGTGGGTTTTACCTGCAGATTTAATGGAAAAGCAGCTTGAAATCAGTTATCTTAGATCTGTGAGGACAGAAACCTTCTTTCAGGAATCTGTCAATTCAATTCAATTCAGTTCAATTCAAAAATACTTAATTAATCCCAGAGGGAAATTGATTGCTGTAGTAGCTCAGAATAATAATAATCATAATCAAGTCATCAAAGAGTTATTGTATATTACAATGGCTGTTGGCAGGAAGGATCTCCAGTAGCGGTCAGTGTTGCAGCGAAACTGAAGAAGCCTCAGACTGAAGACACTCTTCCGTTGTCGGACAGTCTTGTGAAGAGAATGCTCAGGGTTGTCCATCATTTTCTTGATTCTCTGGAGAATCCTTCTTTGCATTATCTCCTCCAGTGGTTCCACAGTCGTCCCCAGAACAGAACCAGCCTTTTTTATTAGGCTGTTGAGCCTTTTCAGGTCCCTGCTTCTGATGCTACTACCCCAACAGACGATGGCTGAAGAGATTACACTCTCAACAACAGACTTGTACTAGATGTGCAGCATCTTGCTACAGACATTGAAGGACCTAAGCATCCTCCAGAAGTGCAGTCTGCAGTGTCCCTTCTTGTAAACAGCTTTGCTGTTCTTTCTCCAGTCCAGTCTGTTGTCCAGGTGAACTCCAAGGTATTTGTATTCCTCAACCACCTCCACTTCTTCTCCCATGATGGAAACAGTGTTTGACTCCACCCTGTTTCTTCTGAAGTCTAAAATCATCTTTGTTTTGTTCACATTCAAGGTCAGATGATTGTTTCCACACCATGCCACAAAGCGCTCCACCAGCTCTCTGTACTCAGCTTCCTGTCCATCTCTGATACACCTGACAACTGCAGAGTCATCTGAGTATTTCTGTAGATGACAGGTCTCTGATTTGTACTGGAAGTCTGAGGTGTACACGGTGAAAAGGAATGGTGAGAGTACAGTCTCCTGTGATGCTCCAGTGTTACTGATCACCTGGTTTGATGTGCAGTTCTTCAGCCTCACAAACTGTGGTCTGTTTGTCAGGTAGTCTTTAATCCAGGCGATAGTTGAGGCCCCCACCTGTGTCTTCTGGGGTTTCTGGCAAAGTACATCAGGCTGGATTGTGTTAAATGCACTGGAGAAATCAACATGACCCTGACAGTGCTGCCTGCTTTGTCCAGATGACAGTGGATTGGTTGAAGCAACTGGATGATGGCGTCTTCAACTCTGTCAGTCTGTCCATCGAGAGACAAACAAGATTTTGGATGACCACAACTCTTGAGAAACTCAGTGTGTCTTCTAAATGATGCTCTGTGTCTTTTTTATGGCTCCACTCTTGTCTATGGCACTTTGCGAATGTCTTCGTTAGACCAGCTGGTTTCTGTTCTTGTTCACTTAGTCAAAATGTTCATTTGCAGCGTAAGTATTACAAAACGAGTCCAATTATTTTACCTGAAATTATTGAGATATGCTACTTGGGAGGTTCCACTCCAAGTGAAATGAAATATGTTGCCATATTCCTCAGAGTTAGATAAGTGGGAAAGAAGCATTTTTTAACCAGCCCAGTCGTTCTCTAAATTCTGGCAGTTTTAAGTTAGCATTAGCTTAGCATAAGCAATGTAAGTTAATTGGAACAGCTAGCATTTTTAACATTAACATTCTAAGCATCTGCTTTCAACCCCATTTAACTTCTAAAGGAGGTAATGTGTGTTCATTTGAATGTGATTTTTCACTTTTGTTTTCTGCTTGTGTGTAACTCGAATCAGAGAAAGCTCCGACGTCACACAGAGCTAAACTCATAACCCAGTCTGATCCCCCGCGGTTAAAAATAGTCTGAAGCAAATACCGGGCACAAAATAGCCACTTTGGTTAATATTCCAGACGAAACACGTCTGAAACTGTGATCGTAGTCTGTGGACACTTCACTGAAGCGCGCATTAACTAAGCTTACGATAGCTTTCCAAATCCGTATGGAAGAGTGGTCACAACGTAAATTCCGTGAAACTCCCGCTATACCGACAATTAATTATGAGAGCCCATGAAAAGGAATGCCGTATGTCGAAGAGTTAATTTTCCTAGTGAATTTCAACCAACTTCTGGTACCGTCCAGATCCAGCTGGCATGGCAAGGCTAAGTTGCATTGCTAAAGTTGAGCACAGAAGATAACACAACTGAAGCTCCTTCAATCCACCGCAGCGAGTCTGCCTCTCTACTCAAAATCCCTTTAGGGTACAATTTTTGCTTAATAAACTGCCACGTTTATGCCAATAACTTTGAAAGAACAGCTGTTATCGCATGTCTTTTATTTTGAAGAGATCAGTAGAACAGGAAGTGATGCAATCGTGTCTTCTGACAAAATTCCTTCCATCCAACCAGTACCGACACCTACAGGGCGTGTGTTAATCCGGCAATTCCTCAAAGCTTCATTATCCAGTTTCCATTCATTTTTATCACAGAATTACGGTTTTTGTGTCATCCATTCATCAGGATGGCTGCAGACCAAGACAAATTATTAATGGATTTTCTCACTGACATGAGACTGGACATACAACAGCAGCTTTCCAATTTAAACCAGAATTTTCAGAATTTCGATAAGAGTCCAATCTTTGGAGAAAGCCTCCTGTCCTGGGCATGTTTTTCCTCTCACATCTGCTGATTCCCTTCCAGATTTGAAACAAAACCTGCAACCAGATAACATGATCCTTGACTCTGATTTCCAGGATGCAGAGCCAACGTCTGCTCCTGATGACCTGATGATTGATTCATCCGCCTGTGACAATGGTCCAGCGCCCTCTGGTGTCGAGTCTGCCAAACTGTTCTTGGGACAACTCTTGTGGCAGGGGAAGGCAGGTAAGCCTTATGTGCCTGTGACACTAGAACAGGTGCTCCCCTGTGACGCTCTTCTGGACACTGGTTCAGACTCCACTCTCATGTCCCGTTCTCTTTTTGACCGCCTCTGCCTAGCTGCTGGAGGAGGGGGTCGATCACTAGAACTCACTTCATGTGCGTTAAATGTCCGTGCTTTTTCTCCAAGTAACATGATCTTGTCCGGTCCTGAGTTAAAATACTCTGACTGTGAAAAAGCTTTGCTTTCTACCATGTGGGCAGTTAAACACTTTTCCAGCAACATCGGTGGACAGAAAATCATCATTGAAACTCAGCATCAGCCAGTGACCCTCCTTAACAGTCAACGCATCAGAGATGGTGTGGTGACCAATGCATGCATTGTGTCATGGCTGCTTGCTCTTCAGAGCTTCGACACTGAGGTATGCTACATACGCTCAAAACCGCCATAGACCTCTTGGCATGTGTTTGGCTGCGTGCCAACATTGCTCGGACAACGCTGCCGCATCAGTCCTACCAGCTAACCCTCCCCAGACCCTGCTGAACTCCTACCACCACTACTTCGACCAAGCTCTCTGTGCGGATTTGCCAACTGTGTACACTGATGGCAGTTCCTTTTGACAAAGTTCTGAACCTAGTTCAGGTGTGGGTGTCGTTTGGTTACACGCTAACCAGAAAGACTCCTGGTGCTACCAGTTGGGTCCTAAGACCTCACAGTTTGCAGAAGTGGCTGCGATCTTGATTGTTCTAAAACTTGCTACTGACCGTGGTGTCCGCGAGCTGGTGATCTGTATTGACTCAGACTACGCGCGTCTCAGTTTCAGTAGTCATCTACCCTATTGGAAAAGTAACGGGTTCTTAACCTCTAACTGGAAGCCCGTTAAACATCAAGTCCTGTTCATGGCTTGTGATGCCCTAGCGACTTCACATGACATGCAGATTTATTGGCGTAAAGTCAAAGGACATTCCCGTGCACCCGGAACTGATAAGGAAATGAACGACCTTACAGACTGTCTTGCCAAACAAGGTACAGCTGTTGGTACCCCATGGTCCTTCAACCCCTTGTGGCTCCCAGGCCATGTGTCTTCTCAGTCGGACCCACCTCGCATGTGTATCGTGACTCGAGCTCAGGCCGCTAATGCGTCCACCCCTCGACCATCCGATGGATTTGTGTCTGTTCAACCTGTCTTTTCCGAGAACGACCATTGTTTATGCTGGGAAATGGCAGACAGATCAGGAGAATTTCTGCACTGGTTTCTTCTCACTAATCTAACTCTTGGGAATGTGGTAGTAGACAAAATTTCACTTGGAGGTGGAGTATTCCTTTAATAATCGGCTTTAGATATTGGCCATCAGCAACACAATTCTTTAAATCGGCATCGGCCTTAAAAAAACATATTGGTCGGCCTCTAATTTGAAAGATTGAGATGCTAGCTGTTACCATTCACTTACATTGTTTACACTAAGCTAAAGCTAAGGGAATACTGCCAGAGTAGAATGACTGGGCTGGTTACAAAATGCTTTTTCCATTCTTCCATTCAAGGACAGCTTCGTTGTTGTGCATTGGCTGTGAGAGCGGAGGGTGGGGGGTTGCGTGCACTGGATCATTTTGCTGCTGTGTGCCGTGTGTGTGTGTGTGTGTGTGTGTGTGTGTGGGGGGGGGGTGTACATTCGCAGACTGTTTAGCTGCCATGACAGCGGGGAAGGGGTCAATAGTTGCTCGCAGAACGTTTTGCTTCCATGCTCCTCTCATGAGATGGGGGGGGGGGGGGGGGGGGGGGGGGGGGGCTTCGTAGCTGTCACACTAGAATTTCGGCCGTGGCTCAGCGCCACGCCTCAGCCTGTGTACGGAAAACTCTGGATTCGGCGGCTTCTGGATGAATGCACGTCGGGTCATATTTGGTGTTGAATAAACTCAGAGCGGCAAACTTAGTAAATTATAAACTCCTACAGTAGCCAACTAGTTAACTAGCATATCCACTGATGAAAATAAACACATTTAGCTATAGTCACTCTCCATACAATGGAGGTGGGTGTGGATTCAAATATCAAAACATTATATTGTTTTATAGAGATCAAAACGCACCATGCGGCAGTTCTTGGAATTAATGATTTAATTAAGAGAAGAATTTTAGGAAAAGTCATGAAATCTGAGAAACATGAGAGAATTACACTGATCTGATGGATCAAAATCACCTCCTTGCAGTTCTAGTGTTAACTGTATGCCAGTAACTTTAGCAATAAGTTCATGGAAAAGGTCAAATCTAACCACATGTGTTAGCTGCTTTAGGGGACACTGGTGAACTACTTCCAAACCATACAGTATGGTTACTGAAATGGAGAGGCCCTGCAGGTATGAAGTGAAGCCTCTGCGCTCAGATTGAAGAAGTCATGGGTATTAAAGTACGAAGAAGTACCACAGCTGGGATAGTGCAGAACCACAGCCGTGACATTGTGTCTGATGACTTTTTATCCCGAAGTCAGGGGCTTATAGCTGCTGTCATGTCGAAATGAAAGCTGTGTCACTCCCACCATGTATACCATAGCATAGCATAGTAATGCGATGTGACTTTCTTTCAGTTTGTACGAATGCTTTTTATTTCTTTTTTAATTTAGTCAGTGTTCTTATAATTTAGAAACAATATTTTATTGTTCTTTGAGTTCTAACAAACATAATATCTTGCAATAAGCTTTTATGAAATGATGGAAAATTGCCAATAATTTATCTAACTTTGTCTCCAGTCTCTCAGTCTGGTCTGGTTTTTGCTTTTAATCGGCTGATCATTTGAATGTTTTGTCCAAAAGCAGCATTGTCTCTAATTCCTGTTTCTTTCTGTCACTGCCTTTGCCCAAATGCAATGCGTCTCCTGGTTTTCCGGCATCAGGAAGATTGCTGTGTGCTGAGCGCTAATCTTTTACAACTTGGCTGCCATGGCACTTATTATGCCTTTCTGGTGCTTCTTAAATTTTATTATCACTTTGTAAAAGCTGTAAGTTCTGCACTTGCACCCTTGTGGTTATGTACTTTAGAGACGTGATAAAAGCTGCTGAAAGGGTTTATCTAATGAGAAAAAAAGAAACTTTACAGGCTTCACTGTATTCAGAGCTTATTTTTACTGGAAAGACAAAATCTTTGTCCAAAAAATTTACTTTTTATCAGCTCTGCTTTTAAAATATCTTCAATGTCACCCTCTCAAAAATAAGGTTAATAGTATTTTGAGCAATTTCCTGTAGGCTTAGAATGATTTACCAAAATTGAACATGTTTTACAATATGTCGGCACCAGCCGATATATAATGATAATGAAATCAAAAATAACAAAAAAAAACTTGTAATGCACTTTAAATTTCACTGAAATCTCAAAGTGCTAAATATTCCTTTGGAAAGTCTTTAGGCACATGCCCGGGCAGCTCGGTGCTCCTGCAGAATTTAATTTAAATCCATGTTTATGTTCCTGAATAACTACAAAAAAAATGCTCTAAAAATATATTTTCAGCTAAAATTTATTTAGATAAACTAGTTTTCATTATTTAAGAGTTGGTAAGTTAAATCATTTTTTGACTAACTTTTGTTAGATTTCTGATTTTAACATGGAGCTGTGCACAAATTAGGATTTAACTGCCAATTAAATTCAGAGGCCAAAAATTTACCCATCTTAAGAAATTTTGTGCATCAACTGATGTTGGTGACAATTTAGGATTTAAATAAGATGGAAAATGTCTAGATTTCAGGCATGAAAATCAGCAGCACATATCGTTCTTTGGCTGACCATGACCTCTACATAACCGCGTCAATATCTGTTGACCTCTAATGGACTCTAATGGCAGGGTTACAAATGATAGATTTTGTAAAAGAATTTAGGCGAGGTCAGGGGTAGACTGGGACGAAAGTTCATCCTGTGTGTGTGTGTGTGTGTGTGTGTGTGTGTGCGTGTGTGTTCTTGCAGAGATTTCAGTTACTCTGGTCGTTTTAGCGGGGGGGGGGGGGGGGGGGGGGGGGGGGCTCATGGAATTCTCTCCATCTCTTCTGCCATTGGGGGAGGGGCGATTGCCGGTAATACAATGCCACAGCCTGGCGAGTACTTTGACGGGGCATGTTAGCGGATCGGTCCACATTGGATAAACGCTCCACTGGGTAGATGCCTGGTGTGCCAGATGGCCAGTCCATGACTGGATGAGGTACAGTTATCTCTGCAGCGCTCAACACCATGGCCATCTTTTTTTTTATTTGGGTAAAACTTTCTTCTACTTTTACTTAGCTTCACTCAATCACAAAAAATACAAATAAATAAAAATCTTTCTTTATCTTTTCTTTTACAGTTTGTAGAAAATACAACCCTATACCTACTGCTGAGATTGTCCAGATGTTGTTTTAATCCAACATTTCTCTCCTGACATAATATTTTTATGCGTGGTTTTGATTTTTGGTGTCCTTCAGTCTGCCATTAGACGTGTTTTCCTGCAGGAACAGAAAATCTCACTGGAAAAATCTGCTGCATGTATTCCCAGTAATCCAAACAGTACCACCTTCTGCATAGGAGCTGAAGGAATCTTTAATAGATATAACACACTGCCCTTTTGGACTGTAACGCATAAACGTTGCTTTTACAACTCATATTTCTACACCAATCTCTGTGTCAAACACACAAAACTTAATTTCTCTGTATTTGTGTTGCAAATTTTTACATAAATTATTTAAAAACATATTCAACCCTTGGATCAGGTTGCAAATACTTTCCCTTATTTAGGAGATACATTTTATTGGCTGTGTGTGACTCAGTCACACTAGAAGTGTTGTGTAGCACTAAGAGTTATCAACTGAAGCACGACTGCCAGCCGAGGAAAAATAAGTTTAGTTTCTAAATATCTGTCAGGCGTCTGCTTGTATCTGCCAGCATATTTATGTATGCGGCCTCATGTGTTATGCAAAAAGTGTGTGTTTTTGCAAAGATGGGATAGTTACTGACTTATCTGTCCTGTGCAAAGTAGAAAGCCTGACACTGTGTA